ATCCTTGGTGCATCTACTCGACGGTCAACCCGCCTCTGGAGGAGAACAGGGTGATCTCGCCGACGTCGACGGCGACATCTACATCATGGGCGGCGCGTTCTACGGTTGCGCAGACTACGACGAGAAGATGGGCGTCGGCCCAGGCGGCTCAGCGGCTGCATCGGCCGACGGCCCCTGGGCTGCTTCCCACAGCTCGGCGCCCGTGGCGCCCCCTGAAGGCCATCTGCGCGCACCTCTGCACCGCGGTCTTCAGGAATGTCAAGGAGCAGGCGAGGCGCAGGAGACCAGCCGAGGATTCCTCCAGAGGGCCCCGGGGGGGACTCGCCCCGACTCAGACTTCCGGGGCCCCATGGGCGCGGACGGCGTGGGAACCGTTGAAATCGACGAGGAGCTGCGTGGCGAGCAGCGCAGGGCCACCGACGCGCGCGATCCGCACTCCCTGGACCGTTTCGAGTCCAGCAGAGGCATTGCCGCCATCGCGTATTACGGCGGCGACAGTGATGTCGTGGACGACGCGGCCAGGGAGGACGCCGACAAGGAGCCCCTGTCATCCGATGCCGAGGAGAAATGAGATGAGAAGATGGCGGGTATTAACCAGGGGACCATCGGACGCAGAGTTGGAGAAAAGAAAAGGAAAAAAACGGTACGCCGCGTTGACGACTACAACAAGACCCTCGAGGGCTACGCCAGCCGCCGCGAGCTACCTGGGGAGGCCCCGAGGGGGTGGATGCCATCAGGCTCGGTACCATGTGTCCACCACGTCAAGGCTCACATCTCACTCCTTGCGGCGGTGACCCCGAACTGGAAGTTCGTCGTCTGGAACAGCCGAGATGCATGATGCCGAAGGTGGTTCGCTGGTCCGCAAGAGGAGGATCGTTCAGCTCCAGGACGCGGGAGAGGAGTCTCGAGCGGAAATTCAAGGGGTCAAATTGCAGCGGCATCGCGACTTGCAGCAGACCCAAACAGCACTGACCAAGCAGCGCGTCGAGGCGGAGAACGGACTCGTGCACGCTCAACGCCGATTGGAGAGGCTGGAGCACAATGCATTCGACCCAGAGACCGCGAGCCCCGCGGACTACATTGCGGGGCCCACGACCTTCCACTATGAGTTCGCGGTGCACTCGGAAATGCAACGCATCCAGCGTTCCATAATGAACCAGATCGCGCAGTCCTCTTTCAAATTCCACACCTGGGCCTCTTGGAGGAACCGCGACTTCAAGAAACAGCTGCGGAATCGTCTGCGTGGGATCAGGCGCGCCTCGAACGACTAGGAAGGCAACTTCAGCATGATGGCGGGCCCCGGGGGAGCACTGGACACACCGGGAAGGGGTCCGAGAACCGACCAAGAAGAAAATCTGCCGTGCGCGGGCTCAACTCATGACCGAGGAGGCTATCCAAGCAAGAAGGGATTAGCACCGGAGGCGTCGCCGGAACAAAAGGCCAAGCGCCAGACCGAGCAGTGAGGAGATCGAGGAGGTCGAGGACGAGGACGCAGACTCGAACGAGGGCGGCGACGAACAGGGAGAAGTCATTGCGGAGTACGTGGAGCCACTTGGTGGGCTCCCTGGCGCATCATCGGCGGGCCGCGTCTACGGCGACAAGGTCCCACAGCTGTGCGAGGTGCCCTCCGAGGCCTGCATCGAGAAGAGAGGTTGCCGATGGTCTGGCCAGATCGGAAGAGGGGGAAGAAGAAGGTCTGGAGCCGACTCCAGAGGTGCCAGAGGGCAAAGCTCCAGCGGCGAGAGGAACCAAGAGACTTGTGACAGGAGCACAGCGTCCTCGCGTTAACGTTTACCTCGCTGACCACGCGTTTCAGGAGACCGCTATGGAGACAGCCAAGGAGGACCCCGAGGAGAACGAGCGAATCCTCCCGAAACCGAAGTACGTCGGGACCGTCTGCATCTACATCTTGTTCCCAGACGTCAACAACAACGTCGATGTCTTGCTCCATCGTCGGAGCCCCACGGCGAGCTATCCGAACGTGGTCGCCATTCCAGGAGGACAAGTTGATCGCGCCGATCTGAGCGTGGCTCACGCCGCTTAAAAACGAGACCTGGACTGCGATTGCGCTGCCAGGTATGCGGCAAGTCGAGAATTGAGCGAAGAAGTTGGACTGTGCTTCCTCGTGGAAGATTTGGTGGAGATTCCGAGCGCGAGAATTTCGGGCACGTATACTTGGTACCGCCAGAGGAGCGGGGGCCGCAGCATAGCTATCGCAGGGGAGTGGTCCACCTGGGTGTTCTGAACCTGGGTTTTCCTGCCAGCGACCACTACTACGCCTGGGCCACCATGGGGGATCTCATCGCTCTACCAGGTTTGCAACCAGCATTCAAACAACAATTGGACCACGTGTTGATGATAGAGAAGGAGAGGGTCTTGCAGATGAGGCAAGGCCTGATGGGACATGCGGAGGTGATAACGGACGAACCATTTGAGTTCGAGAGGAACGGACGTTGGCCAACCGACGATATGATCTCTTGTTATCATTAAAGAGCCGCTCTTAGTCGCCCGCTCAGAAATCGAATGTTTGCGAGACCTTCGACGACCCCACGTCGGAGATCATGGCCGTGCATCATCTGTGCCCGGGACTGTTTACTTTCCGCGTTTGGCTGAAGTCTGAAGTTGTTAACGGAAATGCCACTTAGAAGCGCTCAGAGTCTGGTCGAGTCGTGCAGCGCGTTCGAGTGCGAAATCGTGCAGGACGACTTGGAAAACAACGGAAACGAGACCAGGGACTACGACAATCTCTACGCATATTTCCAGGTGTACACAGATTCCGAACTCAATGATCTTTCTGATCATCATCATGGTGTCAGAGTTCGTCGCGACGCCTTTCCACGACCTGCTTCGCTGGGCACCTGCAACGCTAGCCATTATTCTTTCTGCGAACTACAACGACCTACCGATGATCGGCAGAAACCTATGGCATGGCCGACGGGAAATCAGCAGATGATGGCCGACAGCTGGGCGGAGCTGGCGGAAGAGGGCGAGGGGGCCGTCGTGGACATCGCGGGCCAGCTCAGGGCCCTCGGCGAAGCAGGCGGTGGAGAATACATGCCACGCAGGCAGGAGAACCTCAGTGAGTTGAACGGCGCAGCGGGCGCCTGCAAGGATTTCGCCGAGAATCCTCCGCCGCTGGGGGGATCTAGCACCGAGGCCATGAAGGCTGTTGCGACTATTGATCGCTACGCCGCTGCCCCAGGACTGGAAGCACCTCCCGCCGAGCAGATTGCGATACTTCTTGGACCCAAGAAAACATCAGCGCCCACTGGAGGAAGGGCCCCCCCCAGGAAAAAAAAAAAAAAACAAGAAGGTCTTCAACAGCAGGATTAGCGAACACTGCAAGACGAGCCACAAAGTCGACGTGGCGAGAGACCGCCTACTCGACGCCCACCTTGGTCGCGCTGGCTCTGGAAGCTCAAGCTGGGGTCGAGATCATCGTTTAACCCGCGAACGCATCTCGGAAATTCTCGACGGGCCCCATGTCCCGGAACCAGTGGCGCATCCAACTGGGCAGCGGTGGGTGATGGACCTGGCGCCGACGCGTGCTTGGGAGATGCAGTGCGACGAGGAGCTCAGCGAGAGGGAGGCCCAGATCGAGACTGCCCATCGCGGCGCCAACTTGGCAGCGTCGGCATCGATCTGGAGCGGCCAGGGGCCGTTTGAGCTGAAGCCAGCACCTTCGGGCTGCGAGAGCGTCTGCGGCATTCTCTGCGAGAGAGCGTCTCGCCGCGCCTGTTGCGCTCACGGCGTGGTGCATGCTTCGTCGGGCGTCAGCCCAGGGATGGACCTGCGCCATTGCATCATCGAGTGACAGGTGGATCGCCGCCGTCGCGCAGGCTGCCCCAAGCAACGCGTCCACAAGCAATGGTGCCAGACAGAAGACAGCCACTACATCGAGGCTCGCTGGGCCCACGCCACGACGATGACGGAGATCTGGGACAATATACAGGCGAGGGAGCATGTCTTTGGACGGCACAAGGTTTGGAATTGCACGGTCAGGACCCATCTCGCGGCAAGGGCCGCCCTGACAGCGTTGCCGAGTGTACGCGCGTACCCTGATCAAACGAACGAGGACTCCGTTTTCCCGGTTTTGCGAGGTCAAGTTGGCTTCCATGGGCGAGAGGTGAGTTCCTCAGTGGACCAATTAGTTCAGTGCGGCAGGTCGGTTCTTTGAGCGCACCCGCAAAACATACGACCACCGTGGAGCAGATCCACAGAGTTTCATGGACTACGTGGGGCAGGCTACGGACGCAGCGAAGTCGGATGAACTCGTTGTCATCACGGACCTCGGGTCAGACAATCCGTTCAAGGATCTCTCATAGAGGTGCTCTCGAATCCTACGTTTTCGTGAAGCTGTACCAGCTGCGCGTCACTGAGGCTATGGTAGTACGTGGAATGGCCACGGTATCTACTGAGAGAAGAACTTCACTGTCTGAGGCGAGGCGGCGTTTCGGCTGCAAGAATGGTAGGAGCTGTGGTTGCAGAGCCCCCATATAGCCTCTCCTCATTCTGCGCCTCTCTCTTTATTATATTTTGCGCCGCCATGTCGGCTCACAAGGGCCTTTGGGCTATCATGGCGCGCTGGTGGCGGACGCGCCCACGCCTCCGAAACTGGAAAGAGAACGTGCTCTCTTCTAGCACGGGTGCCCTTCTTTGTACCTCGTGTTTCTCAGAATCCATGCAGCCACACCTGTGCAATCCACATCGTCACCTGGTGAGCAGGCGTTCTCATTATCCCCCTTCCTGCTCCTCGGCTTGCAAGACAGGCCAATTTGAGGCCGCCCTCATCGCCCAGGATCGGCCTAAGGGTGGGCGCGTTCCACATCGTTGGCCCTGGAGTCGTGTTCGCTGTAGTTGATCAGGTCAGTCGGAACCAAGTTGAATCCGTCCCTCCTTCTCTCCTCCTCCTCCGCCTTTTCTCCTCCTCCTCCTTCTCCTCTTCTTTTTCTTCGTTGCTCCTTTCCGGCGCCCCCCCCCCTCTCTGTCGCGAGCGACAGGCGCGCCCCTCATGGAGCGCCAGGTGTCCGCCTCCTCCCTCGACCGCGACCGCGCGGCGCGGCCCCGGGCGCGGACTCACAGTTCCCAGGCCCGTGGGGGGGGGGGGCTTCGGTCAGGGACAGCGCTTAAATCGGGCATGTCCCACCACAGGGGGGATCCTCAAGTATGGGAGCGGTTTTTCGTGCTCGTTGGACTATTTTCCGTATTTCTGACTATGCATCACGTTTCTTTGAAAATCCGTTTGTAGGAGGACATGGCTGACCTCGGGAAACGTCAGGAAGTCAAGGGTCGGGTCAGGCGCCTCAGGGCTGACCTCTGAGTCGCAGGAGGACGAGGAACGGGGGGGGGAGGGGGAGAGGCGGGGAAGAAGAGGGGGAATGGACTGGGAGAGGAGGAATGGGGAGGAGGAGGAGGAGGAGGAGGAGGAGGAGGAGGAGGAGGAGGAGGAGGGGAGGAGGAGGAAGGAGGAGAAGGAATGGGGAGGAGGAGGAGGAGGAGGAGGAGGAGGAGGAGGAGGAGGAGGAGGAGGAGGAGGAGGAGGAGGAGGATAGGAGGAGGAGGAATAGGAGGAGGAGGAGGAGGAGGAGGAAGAGGAGGAGGAGGAGGAGGAGGAGGAGAGGAGAGGAGGAGGAGGAGGAGGAGGAGGAGGAATGGGGAGGAGGAGAGGAGGAGGGAGGAGGAGGAGGAGGAGGAGGAGGAGGAGGAGCTCTACAACTTCCTCGGGCGCCTCCGAAACACAACGGTGCCGCCAGGGGCACGTGCAGCCCCAGGGGGGAGGGCCTCGTTCCAGGGTAATCGGGAGCTTTGAGACGGGGGTCAATGCAAAGAGCGCCGGATCTTGCAGGATCCTGCAGGATCTTGCAAAGCCTGACTGGCCCGGGTCTGGATTGAACCCGGGCCAGTAGATTCCTGAGGTAACGACAGGACAGTTACCCGGGGCAAGACACGGGGGGGAGATGGGCTCCGGGGCAGCGTCAGGGGGAGGTTTTCGGACGTCTTCGTCACTTCTCGGTGGGCTTCAGGCCTCGGGATGTTCTCTCAGCGGCTCGTCCCGAGCGGCCGCCAGAGGCCCGACGTGGTATGGCCCCCATCACTGTCCCACCGTCCCCACTGTCCCCACCACTTTCCCCACTGTGCTGCTGTCCCACCACTGTCCTCACCACCGCCTTCACCACTGTCCCCGCCACTGCCGTCCCCACCACTGTCCCCACTGTCCCCACCACTGTCCCCACCGACCATTATCGTCCCCGCCACTGCCCGCACCACTGTCCCCCTGTCCCCGCACCACTGTCCCCACCACCACCGTTCCCACCACTGTCCCAGCATCCCAACCATTGTCCAACTGTCCCGAGGAGCGGGAATCGTTTGCCGGCGGCGGGGGGGGGGGGGGTCGAACCGGTAGTGACCCCCCTTGTTTTCGAGGGGTGGGCAGGGTTCGAACTGGCAGTGACCCCACCCGGTTTTCGAGGGGGGGGTTCGAACCGGTAGTGACCCCCCCCTTTTCATGATGGACTGGGGGGGGGAGGGGTTCGAACCAGTAGTGACCTCCCCCCCCCCGGTTTTCGAGGGGGGGGGGGACGGGTTGGGAACCCCCAGTGACCCCCCCCGGTTTTCCGCCAGCAGCGGTAGAACACGCTCTTTCAGGAACTGGGTCGCCAATCCTTCAGCCAACCCCGACTAACCCGTCTGGTGTCAGCGGGACCTAGAGTTGAGAAGATGTCCAAGACGAAACGATCCCAGCCAACATTCCCAGCCAACCCCCAAGGGTTCGGCCAATCCTACGCTTCGCCCGAGGTGGTGTCCTCCGAGGACGAATGGGGATGCACAAAGGTACCCATACCGCTACACCCCGGAACTCTCCTGGGGTGCGTGCTGACAAAGATTTCGAGGCGAATTCAGCCGTGACGACGCAGGCCTCCCACGAGGCCCAACAAGTCGAAGACGAGAAACAGATAGCGGTATCGGTAGTTGTTCATTTCGACCCCCCAGAGGAGGGGCATCCCCTTGACTTGAGCGGGAGCGTTAGGGGGGGGACTGGCTAAAAGGGGAGACGTCGACCTGGAATCGGCGATACATCACCGATAGATCGGTGGCGTGCCCCTGATAGCGGATCCGCAGATGCCTGGAGAGGTTGCGGCTACCAGGCCCCCCTTCTCGGCGGTCAGTGGCGATTGGAGGTCGATGCGTTCCCCTCTCCCCTCCTCCTCCTCCTCCTCCTCCTCCTCCTCCTCCTCCTGGTTCCTCCTCCTCCTCCTCCTCCTCCTCCTCCTCCTCCTCCTCCTCCTCCTCCTCCCCCCCCACACGTTGCCCCTGGTGGTTTTCTCAGGCCACACCTCGGGCCTATGGCGGCCGTTCGGGACGATCTGTCACCACCCACCAAACCACCCCAACCCAACCCGAAGGCCCAAATTTATACTCGATTTCCAGTGGGGGGGGGGGGTCGGGGAACGTTGAAAAAACACATGGTATCCGTACCCCCCCCAACCCGAAATTCGGGTCAAATTCGGGTCTTCGGGTTGGGTTGGGGTGGTCTGGTAGGTAGTCAATCTGGACACCCCAGGAACGATCTTGGCGAGGCGCAGCTGCTGGAATGCACCCTCCGGCTGGAAAACCACCCCAAGAACCGACGAAGACGTCCGAATGCCTCCCCCCTACTAACGTTGCCCCCGAGCCTCTCCCCCCGGACGTTGCCCCCGACTCCCCCTCCTGACCTCCTGCCATTCTGGGAGGGGAGGAGGAGAGGAGGGGCGAGGGTACCAGCACGAACGCTCTTCTGCACCCTGAGGTGGGGCCGCCCTCCTTCTTTCTCCTCCGCCTCCTCCTCCTCCTCCTCCTCCCCGAAGCGGGGCGAACAGGCTCGGTCCCAGCACGCTTCGGCGCGACTCCTCCCTCCATCCCTCTTCCTTATAAGCAGCTCCTCCCTGTCACGACCCTGGGCGTGTCGGTAGGGCGGGCCAGGCGTGTCGTCTCAGACTCCCTCGCCACGTATGCTCCTGACACTGGACATGTGCAATCCTCCTCCTCCTCTTCCTCCTCCTCCTCCTCCGCCTCCTCTTCCGCCTCCTCCTCCTCCTCCTCCTCCTCCTCCTCCTCCTCCTCCTCCTCCTCCTCCTCCTCCTCCCCCTCCTCCTCCTTCCGCGCATGGAAGCCCAGTCCTTGCTGAAACGTGGCTCTCGCCTCAGCACCGCGCACAGTCGTCTTCCACGTCTGCAGCGGTGGAAGGGTCGAGGGCGCCCCTTCTCAGCACGTGGCTCTCGCCATCGCGCCGCGCACATTCGTCTTCAAACATTCCAGCGGTTTCACCAGAGGAGGGCGGGTGGTTTTCAAAATCTGGCTCTCGCCTCAGCGCCCAGGACATTCGTCTTGGAAGTTCGCAGCAGCTGGTAGGATCGAGGGCGGGTCCTTTCCAACACGTGATTCTCGACTCAGCGCAGCGCACATTCGTCTTAAATGTTTGCAACCGTTTCAAGGATGCATGCGGTCGCAGTCCCGGAACCGGCGTTCTGGCACGATTTAGGGTTGTCAGGACCCCAGCCAGGACAACGAGGCCGGCACGTTGGAGTCTCGCGGCCGGGATACTCGGCGGCACCAGGGGCCCAACCCGCGTCAATGGCCAGAGCCCAAGGACCCCGACACGGGACAACAGCTGTACAAAACAGGAATCAACAACGTCCAGTGGGACCTCGCGCCAATCACCTGAAGCCGCTGTGTTGCAGTCCCAGGAGCGTCGTTCCGATGCACTTCAGGATCGCCAGGACGCAGCAGCGACGTGATCCGCGGCGTTGAAGTCCCAGGAGCAGTGCTTTGGCACGGCCGGGGATTCCCCAAAAATTGTCCTCTGATGGGCCACGTCCCGCAACGAGCACACTCAGAAGGGAAGGAGACACACAGACACAATGAATCGTCGATCCCCCAGAAAATGTAGGAACTTTTGGCAAGGGGGGGAAGACAGAAACGCATAACATATGGAAAAGTACGGGGGATCCTTTTATTTGTGTGTATTTGTTTGTGTGTCCTGGGGCCCCTTCACACACATTCTTCCAAGGACGAGGGAACCTAGAGGGATGTGTCTTGCACAATCGTTGATGCGTCTCGGGTTTTTCCACAGATAGAGGAGCAATACACGAAAGGAATATAAATGTTAGGAGGTCCGCGCGGATTCCTGACATCCGTGCTGGACCCCCTTCCCTGGCGCGCGGAGCACTCCAGGGGCGGCGCTGGACGCGTCGCCAGGGGGGGGCGTGACCCGATCCAACAAATCCGCACGGAGCTCCAGATATTTAGGTTTATGCAGTGGTTTGCTCTTAGAACTGGTCCTCGCAAATTTCCGAGGAATTGCAGGAGCACGGATCGATATTATTTGTTGAACAGCGGGGCTCAGTGCACGCTCCGCTTGATCACTTGAGCCGAACAGCGTCGGTAACGACAATTGTCCGACCAACTCACTAGCTCATCCTGCTCACCCGGTCGGAACAGTCCTCTTTCCTCCTCTTCCTCCTCCAACTCTTTCTCGAGCCTCCTCCCCCTCCTCCTCCTCCTCCTCCTCCTCCTCCTCCTCCTCCTCCTCCTCCTCCTCCGTCGTAGGGGCAACGAAACGGGGGGACTGGCAAAGGGGGGGACACATCGACCTGGATACGGAAAGACATCACCGATAGATCGGCGCCATGCCCCTGATAGCGGATCCGCAGGTTCCTGGAGTGGGGACAGCGAGACACTGGTGGGGGGCACTGGTGGGGACAGCGGGGACAATGGTAGGAACAGTGGGGGCAGTGGGACAGTGGTGGGGACGGTGGTGGTGGGGGCGGTGGTGGTGGGGACACTGGTGTGGGGACAGTGGGAATGTGGCGGACACAGTGGGACAATGGAGGGTACAGTGGTGGTGGGGACAGTGGTGAGGGCGGTGGCGAGGACGGCGGTGGGATAATGGGACGGAGGTACAGTGGGGACGGTGGTGGGGACAGTGGGGACAGTGGTGGGAAGAGTGGGACAGCTCAGTGGGACAGCGGCGGGGACAGTGGGACAGTGGGACAGTGGGACAGTGGGACAGTGGGACAGTGGTTGGGGCCGTGGATAAAGTGGGGGGAGTGGAACCGTGGTGGGAACAGTGGTGGGGACACTGGGGACAGTGCGACAGTGGTGGGGGCACTGGTGGGGACAGTGGGGACGGTGGTGGGAACAGTGGGGACAGTGGTGGTGAGGACAGTGGTGCTGGGGACAGCAGTGGGGGATGTGGTGCGGACGGTGGTAGGGACCGGGGAGTCGTTTGCTGGCGGTGAGCGTGGGGGGGGAGGGGTTCGAACGGTAGTGACCCCCCCCGGTTTTCGAGGGGGGTGGAGGGGTTCGAACCGGTCCGGAGGGGAAGGGGGGGGGGGTTCGGGGAGGGGGGGGGTTCGCCGGGGGAAGGGGGGGGATCCAGCAGGGGGGTGGGGGATTTTGGAGGGAGGGGGGGGGGACCCTCGGGTTCTGGAGGAAGAGGGGGGGGAATTTTCCACAGTAAAGCGGCGGTGGACCACGCTCTCTCCAGTTCTTAGATAGCCAGTTCTCTCCATAACATCTAGCTGGGGCGGCCACGAAACATGTCCACTATGCTACGTTATGTTTGCGCACCACTTTGTGGCAAAAGGCGTCCAAAACATTGTATATATATATATATGCTTAATTTGCTGTCGCATGGAGAATGCCCTGTGACGTTTCTGCGACGCCCCATGGCACAGGAGGAGGAGGAGGAGGAGGAGGAGGAGGAGGAGGAGGAGGAGGAGGAGAGGGTGAGAAGGAGGAGGAGGAGAAGGAGGAGGAGGAGGAGGAAGAGGAGGAGGGGGAGGAGGAGGAGGAGGAGGAGGAGGAGGAGGAGGAGGAGCTGGAGGAGGAGGAGGGGGAGGAGGAGGAGAGGAGCGGGAGGAGGAGGAGGAGGAGGAGGAGGAGGAGGAGGAGGAGGAGGAGGACGAAGAGGATGACGAAGAGGAGGACGAAGAGGAGGAGGAGGAGGAGGGGGAGGATCAGAGGGGAACACGAAGCATTCGCGGCGATTCAGATCGACCCCCTGCTCGAAGCTCCTCTGGCGCCCTCCGCCGCGCCTCGCCGCTGCTGCCCCGCACACACGCCGCGCGCCCGCAGGACGCCCCCGACGAGCGGCCCCCGCCGCCCGGCGAGGCATCCGTGGGCGACGCGCCGTGCGGCGCAGCGGCGCCTGCTGGCGCGGAAGCGGAGGACCGCCGTCGGGGCTCGAGAGACGAGGTGAATGGCAATCCTCCTCCTCCGTCTCCTCCTCATCCTCCTCCTCCTCCTCCTCCTCCTCCTCCTCCTCCTCCTCCTCCTCATCATCATCATCATCATCATCATCATCATCATCCTCGATCTTGCAGGGTCCTGCAGAGCCAGGGGTGCATTGACCCGGGCTTGGGTGCAGGAACCTGCAGGATCCTGCAGAATCTTGCAGGACCGCCGTCGGGGCTCAAGAGACGGGTGCCAATGCCAGCGACGGCGACGACGGCGGCGACGACGGTGACGGCGACCACGACCACTACGACGACGACCACGACGACCACGACCACGACCACGACGACCACGACCACGACCACGACGACGGGTCTGGATGGACCCGGGTCTGGATGGACCCGGGTCTATTGATCCCCGGCGCCGCGGCTTCGCGTGCCGCCGCTGGCCAGGAGTGAGGAAGAGTTGCATCTTTGCGAAAGAGCGGCCACGCGCAGAGGCTTCCCAGACAGGATCGCGTCGTGAAAAAAATCACGGCGCGAGGGATAACGACGTCGCTCACAATGCCGCGGAGACGGAGAAGGAGAAGAAGAAAAAGAAGAAGAAGAAGAAGACGAAGAAGAAGAAGAAGAAAACGACATCAAGACGGGAGGCTTTCTATATCTTCGGCCTCCGGGGGCCTTTGCCGGGCCCAGGACCGTCAAAAAACGGCTCAGGATGAGAAACCTGTCCCAGGGAAAGGGTCGGGACTTCCAGGGGCCACGCAGCAAATCTCAGAACGTCACAGGTTAGGAACCTGGGGAATTAAGCGGTGGAGCCCGAGGAATCCCGGGAAACCCGAGGAACCCGAGGAACCCGAGGAACCCAAGAAACCCGGGGTGCTTCCGAGGAACGGGCAAAGTAGCCTCCCGAGGCACCAACTTTTCACCAAGTCTGAATCCCTTAGGCAAGCCCAATGGAATGGGGGAACAAGTGCCCCAGGGGAGGCGGTCGGGGTCACGAGGGGGCCGCGGATTGAAAAGATCAGAGCGGCGGATGTCAAGGGGGTGGCGACGCCGGGAGACCTTGAGAGCCAATCCGTTCAAAATCGGTTCCAGGACCCCTCTCAGGGTCCACCTTGACGAAGTTTCCGACGCGGATCCAGCCGTGGCGACGAGAAACCTCCTGGAGGCCTGCAAAGAACGGAAAAGCTCCAGGGACCATTGAAGGAACATATTCTGCAGCAAACGTGTGGGGGAGCCCTTTCGCATGACTCCCCCCTCCGACCCCCCCGCCTTGATATCGAAGAGGCGTTCCGCTCCCCTGGAAGAGGAGTCAGCAGAATCTCCAGCAGAGCATCTCGACTGCAACACCTGCCAATGTCCTGGCATGGGGGGGGTGGAGGTTGGCATGCTGCAAAGGTGTGTGGTCCGGTCTGGTGGCGATCTGTCATGCTCCTTTTTAGTCTGTGTGTTGGACCGTTGTTGATGCCGTTCCTCCAACATCCGCCTGTGGGAGGCCATGCCCGACCTAAACCCAGCAGCGGGGCGAGCCCACCTTTGGGGGCGATCTCGACCTGATCGATGCGACTCCTCCTCCTCCTCCTCCTCCTCCTCCTCCCTTTCCTCCTCCTCCCTTTCCTCCTCCTCCCTTTCCTCCTCCTCCTCCTCCTCCTTCCTCCTCCTCCTCCTCCTCCTCCTCCTCCTCCCTCCTCCTCCCTCCTCCTCCTCCTCCTCCCTCCCTCTCCTCCTCCATCTTCCTCCTCCCTCCTCCTCCTCTCCTCCTCTCCTCCTCCTCCTCCTCCTCCTCCTCCTCTTTCTCCTCCTCCCTCCTCCTCCTCCTTCTCCTCCTCCTCCTTTCCTCCTCTCCTCCTTTCCTCCTCCTCCTCTCCCCTTTCCTCCTCCTCCTCCTCCTCCTCCTCCCTTTCCTCCTCCTCCTCCTCCTCCCTTTCCTCCTCCTCCTTTCCTCCCTTTCCCTCCTCCTCCTCCTCCTCCTCCTCCTCTCCTCCTCCCTGTGGCTCCTGAGGCTTTTTCGCCGTTCTCGGGCCCGCGGGGCCCTCCGCGGGCCCCCCCCCCCCGGCCGTCAGGAGACGGGCCCGGGGTGAGAAGCTCGTCTCGGGAGAGATGCACCAGGGTCCTACAATCTTGAACAAGCATTCCTCCTCCTCCTCCTCCTCCTCCTCCTCCCTTTCCTCCTCCTCCTCCTCCTCCTCCTCCTCCTCCTCCTCCTCCTCCTCCTCCTCCTGTGGGCCAGGATCACTGGCCCAGGATCACCCTGGGCCCAGGATCGGCGTATATGCCGCATCAAGGCAGGAGGGCGTATACACCGATCCTGGGCCCAGGGTGATCCTGGCCAGGATGAGCTCGTCTTGGGTGAGATGCACCAGGCTGGGTAGTCGAAGACCAGACTGTCAGATTGGATTGGGCCCCAAGGGCCAATCTGGCGCGGCCAAACTGGATGATTTGGGTTGTTCGCCAGACTGGATTCGCGTTGGCTCCCTCGCCAGATTGCCCCCGTTTGCCAGATTGGGCCTGCCAGATTGGCGCCAGATTGGCTTCGACTACCCAGCCAGGGTCCAGGATTAAGTCGGGCCTGTCCCTCTACAGGGGGACTCTTCAAAACTAGTGTAAAAGATAGTCCGGGGACGATGTTTTCAGTATCTTGGGCATCTGTTGAGTGCCCCCGTGACCGTCAGAAAACAGGTCAGGGTGAAAAGCTCGTCTTGGGAAAGATGCACCAGGGTCCAGGATCAAGTCGGGCCTGTCCCTCTACAGGGGGAATCTTCAAACATAGTGTAAAAGATAGTCCGGGGACGATGTGTTCAGTATCTTGGGCATCTGTTGAGTGAGTGTTTTTTTGCTATTCTCCATATTTCGTCCAAAATCCTGCTGCAGGGGGACAGGCCCGACCTAAGTCCAGGACCCGTTTCCCTCAGGACCCGTGTCCCCCATGCTAGTCCGATGCTTGCAGAGCGTCTTTGCTGTGCATCTCGGAGAGAGTTTTTGTTTACCCGCTGGGTCATAACGCGCGCTATGCCCACCCCAATCACCCCCCCCCCCTTCCCTCTTCCCCCCTCATAACGTAACGCTCCCTTGCCCCCCGTGCATCCCTGGCACTGCCACAGTGCGCACGCCACCCCAGTCTGTGCTGCTGGACCCACACGGCTGGTGGGGGTACGTTATGGACCCCACCCACCCACCCCCCTTCCCGCCCCTCTAACGCTTGTTATCGGCACGAATGAACAAATATTCTCTCTGCGCAGCCGATCCCGATTCGTTCTTGAACTCCTGTCGATGCAGCCCGATCCGCCGCACACTCCGACCCGATCTCCCGATTCGATGTTGACTGATCCGACGCACATTCCAACGCACATTGTGGATTCTCCAATTCGATGCACATTCCGAGACCCTATCTCCCGACCCGACGCACAGATGCAGTCCGATTCCAGATCTTGGCCGATGCAGCCCGATCCGATCCAGTTTCCTGATTCGATGCTGACTCCAGGACCCCTTAAACTGTATGATGTTCTAACCTACGTTAGCCTTGATCACCAGAATGAACCTCAGGCACCAAGACAGTGCCGACACTGGAGGGTCTTCACGTATCGGGCCTTGGGAGGGCAATGCTCGTTCGGCACTTCGCCGGCGTGTCGGGCAGTTGTTTCGGTACTGTCCTGGGTGCTTGAATTTACTTTTGGGATGTGGTCCTTTCGGCTGTGGACAGAACCCTCACCCTGACACGTCGATTAGTCAATTGTCCGTTTTCGGTTCTCGAGAGGGGGCCGCGGCCGTCATTTTCCAGGCTTGCGCCCGCCAGGTTTTGGCCCGAGGTCGTTTTCACTACACCACGTTTTACTAAGATGGTTCTGTCCATTCCCGATCCTTAAGTACGATGGAAACAACATAACCCTAAACGGGGACTCCTTACTTCTTGGTAGGCCAGGACGTTGGCGCGCCTGGGAAAAGACTGCAGCCGCGGGTCGAAGCCTTCTCCAGTCGTCGTTCTTTCGTGGTGGGTTTCTCAGGGGGCCACATGCGAACCCTACCCCTATCCCCCGCGATTTCTGAGGGGGTAGGGGTAGGGTTCGCATGTGGCCCCCTATTTCTCCAAGAGTCCTGGCTGGCAGTCCCTGAGATCCGACGCTTCAAACAAAATTGCAACAACATTGCGAAACATCGCGATCCGAGCCCTAGACACACTCTTCCCACATCACTTCTCGAGCCAGAGACCAGACGAAAACACCTGGCGCTCAAAAACCTCACAACCGCCTTTCATCCCGGATCCATTGTCAAGATGGCCCCGAAGACCGAAAACGGCCACCCAGGGCAGAAATCGAGAACCAATTCCCGGAAGAATTCGGGAACAAAACGCCCGATGCGTCAAAATATGCAACACCTGGATCTCATGAATGTCCTGGTTTGGGGGGGGCGCTGGCCGATTGATCCCGCCCCATGAGCGGCGGCGGATGAGATTGTTCCTGACGATTTCCTGTAACGCTCGTTACTCGGGGAGGTTGAGTCCCTAGGCAACAGTAATTAACGCCCTGTCGTGATGGGGTCGGACGGTGCTAGGACGAGGATAACGTCAGTTCCAGAGCCGTTCTGGAACGCTCTCAGAGCGCTCCAGAACACTCTGAGAAGGCCGCGGCGCCCGAGAGATCCTCCAGAGCCGCCGGATCTCATAGATTTTCGATTTATTTTCACCCGATCTTAATCCTCGTCCTGGCTTCGTCTTACGGGGCACGTCGGGGCGTGGGTGACCTGCGATCGCCACAGTGCGCGCGCGGATACCAGCATGTGGGGGGGGGGTCCAGGCCCCCAGCCTACGTGTACGACCACTGCCGTCCGTTACCGGGGGGTGGGGGGAGGGAGGGTTTGGCCAGTGTAGCGACCGGTAGCCTTGTAGGGTCTTCCATGATGCACTTCCACCCAAAATTGTCGGCTCGAAATTCAACTCGTTCTTGTCATCCTTGTCCTTCCCCTCCTCCTCCTCCTCCTCCTCCTCCTCCTTTTTTT